GAGGCCCTGAAATCAGGGCTCTTTGACGACACGCTGTATGCTCTAATACTTGCCACTTGCGAGGTGATTGGGCCCGCAGCTGTACAACCGTCTCACTCTTCTTACTCGAAAGTGCTCCAAAATGAGGCTGGAAGACAGTGTTGACAAGATGTTCTGATTTCACCCATAAGCGAGCACGCAGATGCGACGTTATGCACGATCAAGCAACGCCTATCCGGAAAGAAATCCGGACCTTCGTACCGACGCAGCCACCGCCACACACTTGATGGCGGGTGAAATCCAGGAAGCGATCTAGCCAACAGTATCCCAGCCATTTCCGCGCACTTTTGAGCTATGAAAGTGGCGCACTTCTACTGCAAACCTGTCGACCTTGCACGTGGCAAGGATCTGTCTAGAAAGTAAGCGTACAGCGGGCAGTGAATATTGTTTATTCAATCTCAATCGTTGTTCTTATGAACTTCCAAGCTAAATACTATTGATCTCACCCAATTGCTTCCACTTTTACGGAAACAAGGACCTTTTCATAAAATAGTTTCCAAGTTTGGTGCTACGAAGAAGTACAACTCCCGTTTCCTCACTTTGGATTGTGAAATTTAGAGCTCAACGGAGTTTCTGGCAAATGCTAGGCAATTCAAAAATGCTGATGTTGACCGCACATCCACGGTTGTATGTAGTAGGACAACTGGCCACAAAGTACTAGTTAGTTTGTTCACCGTGACGTAGATTAACAACCTTCCCCCACTGCAGTATTGAGCTCCACCGGTATCCTAACTGGGAAGTATGTAGACATCTACTAAGCGAGCACTGTTAGGAGAAGCGGTAATTGAAGCCCTTTGTCTAAAAGTCCATGGAATATAAAACACGAAAAGGGAGCTGAACTGAAGGTTTGAAGAACTGTCCCTGAATTCCACCAATGCTTGAGCTTCGCAATTACGCGCGAGTTATGAGCGTAGGATGTCCATCTCCAGGAAAAAATCAAGCAAGTAAGCGAGGTAGCCAGAGTTACAGCATAGTATTGGAGAGAGCATAGTGATAGTGCATTGACCTGCACTAGGGAGGTAATGTGAAGCATTCAACCGGAAACTACGAGCAGAACAATACCGGAATCGAAAAACACGAAAGCTCTCGTGAAAGCAATCTAACGACACTTCGAAGGCTTTGTCGCCTCTCTTATGTAGTGTCTCTGCGAGTTAAAGACACAATTCGTTGCTGATGATATTACAATTGGCATCGTTCACTTGAGACTCCGAAAGTAGTGCAGTTCCAAGTTTGAAGAATAGACCAGGGTAGGATGGTGGTGACCCTTCGTCGTCTTCTTCAGCACAGCCATCACGAGCATCTGTTTCATCTCGCTGCAGATCTTCTAATGTACCGAGTGGCGTCATTACAGTTTGGTTATAACCCTGAAATATGAAGCACAATAAATAGTAAAGGATATTCGCACAGTGGATTTCTACCACATCTGAACAGCTTTCAAATCTTTTCTTTTCTGGGTGGATTTAAATATGAAATACCGTCTATGAAACAAAATTTAAATTTTTCATATGATGTCAGGTCAGGCCACCTTCACATTCCGTAAATGAAGCCACTGGAGCGGTCGCTCGCGTAGTACACATCACCGGTGCAAAACCAAGAACACCCAAAATTGTATTCGTTTGCGGCTTCCTGTGGAGCTTTGGATAAGTCTTTCAGTAACGGACGAGCGTCGTCTTAGGAAAAGGACCAGGAAGTACCGTCGTGAATGGAGCACTAGATGTAAGTTAGAGGAAAGGGTCCTTGAAAAGTTTTGCAAGTCATACAGATGCGGCAGAAATTCTCAGCTTTTCAAGTGCAGGCAGGGATCCATGTGAAGCGACGCGCCGAAAGAAACGTTGCATTCGAGCCAGAAACTACTTGATCTGATGCAAAAAAGCTGCAGTATGTCAAAGCAAGAAAGCTGGACTCCATGCGTTGAAGCACTGATCTCCGAGCCCCTCTCTAAAGTATTCCACCAGAGCTGAACCTAAAATACAGTACCTTGTAGGGGTTACGGTAGCAAATTTTCTTCAGTTGTGCTGTGAAATCTTTTCGTAGTTCCGTCTGACAGCACACATAGATAGGTAATCGAAGAGCACCAGCAAATATCGTGAGCAGCGAAACCTGTGAAAAAACGCATTTTCGGAAATGTTAGTTGCCTTCCAGAGAACAACTGAAAATATTACAAAAAATATTCGCGCATGCAGCCTGCTCTTACACAAAATTGCCTTTCATATCGAAAATGGAGAAAAAAGATACAGAGGGAACGAGGAGTTCTATCGCAATGTCTTTTTGCTCGGAGACATTTTGAACCTCTAACTACAAAGATTTCGCCCGGCCTTATTATTTCACAATTTCGAACATGCTAGAAATAAAACAGTACAGAAATTCAAACATCTGTTTAAAGCCGTACAAGTCAGGCTTATTCCTCAACTTTTTAAAATTAGAAGGCAGTTGAGAAAAGGGGAAATGAAAATATCGCGCATTAATATTCCTACACCCATCATTTAGGCCACTCCATTTATAGTGAATGAGTTATTTTTCTTGAAACAGATACTTTTTCAAAGCTATTCAACTCACCACATCAACAGCGAACGTGTAGAAGGTATTGAAAGTGACAGTGATGGAATCATAATCAATATACTCCCAGATAGTGATAATGACATTGAGTATGTTCGAAAGCAGATAGGTGGCCACCACAAAAGACGAGGGTTCTAGTTGCAGATCGAACTCGAGACTGAAAATAATTCTTTGTGACAGGGATTCTTTGGTCCACAAGTGAAGAATGACTCCTTTGCGGAATATGAATGTGACATTTAGTCTACTCGAAAAACCATAGAGCTTACATGGTCCGTATAACGACCACGACACAATTCGTTTCCCCCGGGTCCGGAAGTGTGCTTGGATAGGACAAATGAACCTGTTCACATTGACGCGATCCTGTAGGTGCCAGCTGCACCATAGATCAAAGGCTAAACAGGAGGAAGTTGCAACGTCCAATGGCAATGGGGCTGACCATAAACGACCCTTCCTCCTCAATATATGGCGTTTCCGCGGGTAAATCTCCGGCCGTCATGAGTATTCTCCATAAAGCCGAGAAGAAAACTTCGAGAATTTAGTTACTTCTGCCAAACGAGGTTTTTAGATGACACCTTTATTGGCCTTACGTTTCGACCTTCTCGTCTTCTTCAGAGGCCTGAAAATGGCTCGAAGCTTTTAATTTGTTACCTACCCGACCAAACGCCCTCCCCACTCTAGCGTTTCCGACCTTGTTTCCCAAACGCTTCCCAAAAACTCGGTAATGAGTCCTAACAACTCACCGAAGGTATCACCGTGCGGAGCTCAGCTCACGCAGTGGGTTAGTTGAACCAGTAAGGACGAATGAGACTCACAGGAAAACTACCCTTATGCCTTCCTTTTATTTCCGATGGCATCAGCACTGAAATACGTCGCAGTATTGTTAGGGCACAATTACACGACGATGTTGTCTTGGTAAATATCCCCAACGACAACATCAAGCGCCAACTTGTGCGCAACAGACTGTACGACAGACAGTGCTTGACACCAGACTGCGTTATCTGCCCATATGGGAAGTTAGGAGATTGCGGGAAAGCTGGAGTAATTTATCAGCTTGAATGTAGGGCGTGTAACAGCACGTATATCGGAGAAACAGGAAGGGTATTGGCTACACGCATTGGAGAACACCTAGCTGGGAAAAGGCGTGATATCATGACCACTCCCCTTGGCAAGCATAAGGTGGAGCAGCATAACGGGAACGACTTCGATGTTAAATGTGTTATACTGGCGTACGAGACGGAAACTTCAGCCAGGAAAGTTCTGGAGTCATTCTGGATTTTCGCGAGAAAACCAAGAATGAACAACCGAAATGAGTGTCTGGCTATTACAAATGAATTCCTGCCGTTTGTATCAGAGTGCGAGCTACAGTAAGGACTACGTGCGCTATAACAATTTTGACTTTTGCGACACAGTGAGACACAAGTGAGTCTCATTCGTCCTTACTGGTTCAACTAACCCACTGCGTGAGCTGAGCTCCGCACGGTGATACCTTCGGTGAGTTGTTAGGACTCATTACCGAGTTTTTGGGAAGCGTTTGGGAAACAAGGTCGGAAACGCTAGAGTGGGGAGGGCGTTTGGTCGGGTAGGTAACAAATTAAAAGCTTCGAGCCATTTTCAGGCCTCTGAAGAAGACGAGAAGGTCGAAACGTAAGGCCAATAAAGGTGTCATCTAAAAACCTCGTTTGGCAGAAGTAACTAAATATTCGACATCATGCCGAGGTTTCAAGAAGGGACAACATGGAGATTATTAAACTCTCAGAACTACTTCTCAGGTCTTTTTAGGAAAGATGTCGACCATAAACCTATCTTCTTCGGCAACGTACTTAGAAACGCTTTTGTTTGGGGTCTTCACAGATGTGGTGAGACCCACGAAAATCACTATGTTAGAAGTCATCTATTTCTTACCTTCCTTTTGGCATCACTGAGCTTTTGAGCACTAAGAAATTGAAATTCTGTTCGTTGTATGACGAGCACAATACGAGTATTCATGAAGGCCAGTAAAAAGAACGGAATCAAAATGGTGAACACCGAACGGAACCTGAAATAGTTCACTTTAGCCTGATGACGGATGGTTAGCCTTACATATACAGCCACGAAGACCAATTTTGGCACCAGCACCGCGCAGCTAAAGCTAGTATGATATTCATGATCAGAGGACCAACGTACTCCCTGAGGTCAAAGTCCAGCTGAATCTACACTGGGGAACATTCCTCTTGAAATCAGGTCACTATTCCAAACCAGGACAGTGAAGGGTAAGTGGTACCAAAAGTGTAAATCAATAATAAAAAAGTAAGATCAAGATAAAAAAAACTCAAAAATTAATGACAACAGATCAACTGAAGTAGATATGTACTATGGTAAGAACTAATAAATAATAATAGTTCACAAAACAGTTCTAGAGAGAAAGTATACTACTATACATATATACTACTGTGGAAAAATAGCGATAATAAGTAGAAGTGAATAATTCAAAGTAACCGAATGAGTCAGAGGTTTCGTCCCCATCGGAGAGCCCTTCAGCGTGGATTCGTTTACAATTCGAAAAGTTATTTCGACAATGCTGCTAAAATTACCATATTCGCCAGTAAGCGTTGTAGACTTCGTCCATTGCCAGAGGAGAAAGACCGAGTGTGTACTCGCCCATTGTTCCGAGGCATTCCGGCACATAAGTTATCTGGAATAATTTATAATAGAATTAGTATAAGGGGCGCACAACTTTTGATATTTTATGTTTCATATGACCCAATGGCTTAGTTTTTTTTCAAAAAAGTGACCCTTAAACAGCTTCCAGTCAGCGATTTTTTTCGAATGCGAGTGCCTAAAGAAAGTAATCAAGTCAGCTCAGCTCGTTTGGCCGACTACTACGCCGGGATAAATAGAAACGGGATGGGAACAAATTCAATTCGCATACGAAGAAAATGAGAAAGTAGCTGGCACTTCTTCTCGTGAGTATCGTTAACCAACCTCAAATTCGAATGGATGCGTGCATTTCGTGGCAACACCGAGAAACACACTTCCTGCTGCTATTCGATTCCTGAAAAGAGTTTTACTACAGAATTCCTACAGATTTTTACTTCTTGGTAAAAACGTAATTATCTACCGGGACGTCCTCAAACTCCCAGGACTTCTCTTAGCGAGGTGTGGATCAACGAGGAAGTGCTGGGAAATAAACTTGAAAGAGGGTAGAGAAGGCCTCCATTCGGCGGTTTGTCAACATTTCAGTAACTCTAGTCTCTGGAGTTGGTAGAAGGTGTTTTCTATCCCCGTCCACCTGCGCGACGACAAACTTCTGCGAAACCTGTGGAAGAGGGTGGGTAAGTTGAGAAAGGGGGACACATGCACTGAAGGAATTAGGAGTTGGAGTAGTTGTCTTTTAGCAGAAGTTCCCTCAACGCTAAAATATGGCGTGGTGCTATCCCTCTTTCATCCCTTAGAATCGAAGATAAAAAAGAACAGTGAAGCGCTACTATAGCAGATGCACTAGTGTTCTGAAGGCAACGCTGAAGGGCATTTGCGCTGAGCGACTTAGTGTCCGTCGCCATGACACTGTCTTTCCTGCCTTTATCCGTGAAATTATGGAGTTATTTGAGTCATAAGTGGCAGTAGGAGCGTCTCCAGGTACCCATCCAGTAGGGTGGTCTCAGGACCCAACTTGAGAAACGTATCTGACCCGCTTGAGTCCCTGGTAACTCAGAAATAAAAAAATGACAAAGGAAAACGAGTACTGAGTAGGGTACATACCTGTTTCGGTTCAGAAATTTCGTGAAGTGAGGGTGAACGGTCACACAATATCGCTCAAAACTCGCCGCCACCATAAGAAACGATGACGCTGTCATGGCGATGTGCGAGATGGTGATCATCGGAATCATGTAGGTGAACCTGCAAGCAGCTCATTTGGAAATAACATGAACAGTTTCTGGCGCTTGAGTGTAGATTTTCAGTGAGTCGGTCAGGGTTCACATGACACGTGGATAGACGCTTCACGCCTGGAAGGAGCCGCTCTACAATTTTCTGCTTGGGTCTCGGTACGATAGCCTCCTAGTGGGTTTAATCACTCTAATTTCCATCCAATTATACAGTGACGTCTTTCGCCTCGTACCCGGCGCACGCAACGTAACCTGGCAGGCGCTAGATGACCACATAGGCATCTCGCTGCGCAAATTCTACAAATCACACGGCTGTACGTCAGCAACCATTTCAACAATCCTGGTATGTCCATGTGTCATAACGGACTGAGCCAAAAATTATACGGGATATATGACCAAGCCGTTCCCTTTCTTTGTGCCTAGATCTACATAGACTCATGGTCAGAAAAGCTCGCGATCACCACGTACGAGCAATGTCCTAAAGCAGGGCTTTCTAGTAATCAGAGTTTTTTTCGAAGGGTTCACGAGGTCTTTTGTCCACTGGGATTCCAAGTTCAAAGCCTACACAAGCCTAGATTGGGCTAATTAGATCAGGGCATCATCGTTATGCAGACGAAGCTAGCCATTAGTTTGCCCTAAAAAAGGCTCTCCAAAGGAAAAGCTGGCTATTTTGGTGAAAAAAGCTCATTCTGAGAGTGCGTTAGAACCTCTCTCCGGCATTCCTTATCATTTTGAGTTCTATGTATATATGGATCTCAGGAAGTTAACCAGTTCACATCGACAGAGCCACGGAAATCGTGATGCGCCCAGCGCTTTCGAGAGGTGGTCTCTATGAAGTACAAAAAAGCTAGAGAATATTTCTTGAAGTGCTCTCCATCAGCCCTTTCCTTCCTGCTTATTGTTAGAAACGTCCAGCATTCAAGGATGTTCCAGGATGAGTTTCTTACCACCCAGCCACCAATGGCAAGGTGGTAAGTAACGCAAAAGCGAAGAAAAAAAAAACAGGAAATGCCTCTTATAAAGTCCCTTGCGGAGCCCCGTTTGTACGCACATAATTTGTGAAAAAGGCGTTGCCGGACGATTCTCTTTCGTTGGTATCAGCTCTTTCCCCCTTATCCACTCACTCTCACCATTTGGAATGAGGAGAGCAAGTAGCAGAACAAGTGCCCACCAGGATACTTTGAGAAGAGGAAAGTAGGGCGTTGCCGCGGCCACTGAGCGGGGCCTTGGTCTCGTTGTAAACGAGCAGGGTGCTTTCCCTGCATATTTTTGAGCTCTAAAATAGTAAATCGTCCATGTTTGTGGGCAGGACTAGCCTGTCCAAAGAAGGCGTCTGAATATCAAAACAACGCGGAGCAGGAGGAGAGGACAAAATTCGAGCAAGTGATAGGTCCACCTGAACTCGCCTGAAGTTCGCTTTGGGTTTTCGGTGAACACTACATCATGTTTTCTTATAGAGTGGATCCAGTCAGGACGTTGCGCACGTGGAGGGCTTGGATACAATGTTCACGATAATTGGATAGGCGGGAAAAGACAGAGGTTCATAACCATTAGGCCTCCCTCAGTTGTGTGCCACTCTTTTAGATACAGGAGAGGACACATTAATGACGAAGGCACAATGGCTGCGAGGCTGGGCTCATCCAATTATTCGTAACTCTTTTTCGTGTGACTCGCAGAAACATCCCACGTCATCGTTAACATCCCGTCGCCTATATAAACGAATTTCTTTCCAAATTCGGTGATTCCTGCAAGCTTGAATCCGGTTGTTTTTGGCATCTAATTTAAAAAGCCCTTTATAAGAAGTTCCAACTACATGCGGAGTATAAACGAGCTCGAAAAAAGCTCGCGTCTTGAGTCATACATGACTATCTACAATTATCAAAGGCTTAGCGATAGGTACATCTGCTAACCGCATGTTATATACCTTCGACATTAGGAGGGACTTCATCCAGCAATATATCAACCTTTCCGTGGTTTTTCAGGACACATGCATGTCCTTTCAATCAGTGCTTAAGAAGTGCCCATTTTTTGAGTACCAAATGATCAAAGTACGCACAAGTATAACGACAACGCGCAGCGCTCTGCTACACTTTACTAGTGGGATGCACAGTGCTTTATACTCCCAAACTCTGGAAATTTCCTTGCACTCATGCTCTTTCTGGTCGCCCTCACTCCGTCCCGGACGCTAAAGAGGAAACAGCATTTTATGAGCGAATAAGCACTCCCTACATGTTAGCCCCATAAAATGAGGAAAAAGCTGTAATTTAGGACAGATGGCAAAGTTTACACCTAATGGCCTTGGGGTGGAGTTCGTGTAGCGGCAATTGGACCACCTTCCACACAAGTAACATATTAACAGAATGCTGATTTTCAGAAAAGAAAGGCGGAAATTGGAAAACGTCGAGCACCATCTTATCTCTCCTTAGCTGACTAGTACTACTAGTTCTGCAAGAAACGTCACTGTGTGACCCAGCCTACCGAGTGATTTTTTACTGATGGGGCAGCCAAGATGAGTCATGCATATAAAAGATAAAAAAGGATAAAGCATTCGTCGTTGATCAGTCCCTTTTCGCGACACACATTCTACTTCCATTCAGGTCGCGATGCTATTGAATGCGATGTGGCCTATACAGTTACTTGTGGGGGTAGTCGTTAGTGTTCTCATACTCCCAACACTGGTATCAATTTACCGTCCCCGGAAGCAGAGGGCTTGGTTGGCTTGGGCGAGGGCCCGTCCGAAATTTGAACCCTGGATTGCGTAGTAATCGTGCCACTTCCACACACTACCTCCTCCTCGTGCTGTGAGTATTAACAAAAGT